AGTGACCTCCTTAGAGTTATGTAAGCAACCTCTGTTTGTGATACTATTCAGTCTTCAATTTATCTTAGTTAGCTTTTGACTCTTCAAGACTTTATTCCCAAGAAGAAATCATCCAATGAGACAAATCTTTAAATTTCTACTCGGGAATGATAGCAGAGGTGTAGATAGATTAAAAATAACTGTTCCAATTACGCAACTTGCCAATTTTGCGTGGTTCAAGTTCTGCACCAATTCTCCAATGTGTTCGTTTCAGGTAAATTGATCCCAAACTGATACCTAGTTTAATCTACGGTGGGTGACCCAACTTAGCTGCTAACTTATCCTTTGTTTTTATCTAACACCTGAGAAGGCTTTGGCTAAATATGCATTTTATACAATTTAGGATTGAGCTAAGCTCTCCCAGAAATGTTGAGGTAACCATGGCTCTAATGAAAAAGTATTATTACCTGACCTAGACTAGGCCAAAATTTTTAACTTGAACTCGTGGGTTTTCGTGTTTTCCTTCATAGTTCAAAGCGAATGTGATCTTTATTACCAATTTTTCTTACAAGAAATATTCAAGCTTTGACCTCGCGACATTTTAACGAGTTTAAGTGATCCTTTTTTGTATTTGCTCTTTTGTCGTGGAAAATTATGAGCAACTGAGACAGTTATTCCTTTTCCCTCGACAAGAAGTACACGTTGTCGTGTCGCTTTGTTTCAGATCTGCTCAATTCACTAAATGCTTTATTCTGAAATAAGACATATCAAAGTACTGCAACTTACAGGGATTTTCCTAAGAATGAAGCTTCTATACTGGTATTGCAGATAAGTGTTTGTTTCTTGACTTTACCAATGAGTCGACAACTTCGAGCACAACTCCAGCCGCACGACAAAATAAAGCAGGAATAGTGTATTGTGGTGTGCTTTCCTAATCGAGAATCGACCAAACTGTCAAAAAGTACAGATACGAGAACGGCTTTCTCACATTCTGTAGTGTCACTAATACCTAATTAGTGACACTACAGAATGTGAGATTAAACAATCTGTTAGTGCCAGAATCAAACAGAATTTTGTTTCTTAAGTTGCAAGAAAAGTAATGTTTTTAAGCTGCTATGTGAACAAAGATTTAGAAAAATTATACGGTTTGGTAAGGCCGCCTGGTAATGACTTGACAGTGAAAAGCAGCATTAAGCATTTCTCAAAGGCCCTAACTTTCCCTTTCTTTCTTCTAGCTCATTGAAACCTCTTTTCTTTCCCGTTTTACACTTCTCTCTCAAATTCATTTCCATTTCCACTTTTCCTACTTTTCCCCTTTCTCTTTTCTTCCTTTTCTTCGCTTTTCCTATGATGACCGTTCGCCTTCTATCTCCTGTGAATATCCTACCGCTGTGCTTTCATCAGCTGGTCATTGCAGTCCTTTTGAGATAAACTTCAGTTGCTGTTGACTTATTTGCTTTGGCTGTCTAAGTTGTTCGCCAAACACTAATTACTATCCACAAGAATGACCTTTGGATCCTCCCGAGAATTCAACTATTATTCTTGGAGGCGCACTCTGAGATGTTATTCAAATCGACCACTTCTTGGGTTTTAAATTCAGCCGGACTTTTGCTTTGCTTATGCAAGCGTTTCACCTCAAGGAAACGCAAAATTAATGGTCAAATGTCAGCAAACGCAGGGCATCTGAATCCGTTGCAGAATACTGCTCGAAAAATCTGACAACAAACCCAGATGTTTGATCATTAGTTTATCTCAACCACTTGGACGTGTAAAATTTGTTCATTTGACCTACTTGTACATTTTTTGCCTTAACATGCGTTTGCATTTCCAAAAAAGATGTTTAAAAAAAATCATCTCGCGCGTGGGAGAAAAAAATTAAATCTCTTTATGATTCGAACGCCGATTTCGCGGCGGTTACCCTACCAAACACCCCACAGAGACCTCGACTGACAGCAAGGCTACACGTCCATACAAATCTAACACAGGAAACGCGCGCGTCTTTAATACTCTATTCGCAATTTTTACCTGTAGAGAATAATTAGAACAGCCTTGTTTGAATCCACTAAAAACTTTCGTAGAAAGGAAACTTAGATTTGGAAAATGCGATGTCTAGACCTGGTTGCAATAACTACCTGCGAAGGTGGAAGTTGTGGTTAATAAATTCATTGCAGACAAATATTTCCATTATCTATATTATCCTCAGTGATTGTACATGCCATAAATATTGCATGAACGTTATTTTTCTCAAAGTATTTGAGTCAGTCTGAAATGGGAGTCCCATGAATACGTATTTCGCCTCACGGACACAAAATGAGGAGGAGAAATCAATTGCTTTGAATGATTTTTCATAGATATGTGGTCATTAGATATCTCTACTGATATATTTGAGTTCAATGCATCACAAACAGAAAACTCTGAAAACTAGTTCATGGGAGAACAAATGTGTGCTCGGTATTTGGGTTCGTTATTTTGAAGCGTTTCCATTACTGAACTAATGCTAGACATATCGCGACCTTCTTGCTTCAACTGTTGCACCCAGTACAAAAGCCAATATTTAGAAATAAAAATTAAATTGATTTTAGTTGATTCATTATCCTTATTTTCTTGGTTTGGCTTTTACAGAAATGATGGTGTAAACCAAGATGTTACTTCCAATCGATAAATCTTCATTTTTATCGTAAGAAAAAATTGCGAATCCTGATAACTTAAACAGTACAGGTGCAGTCAAGATTGAGCTCGATTCGTCCGCAATACCAAGGGGATTTGCTACATCTAAGTTCATGAAACATTTATGGGTATCAATGATAAAATATGTGTGGGTCTTATCATTGTATGTGAGATTACTCGTATCTCTTCTTTTCTAACTTTAATTTATGGGCTCTCTCGCTTTGTAATGGTCTAAGAAAGCCAAAGATGGTACAAATCTCTGATCTGATACAATAAAACTAGAAATCTCCCCCATGAATTAGACACTTTTTTCAGAGCGCTCTTTCGTCTCAAAACCAACTGTTAGCGAAGAAGTCACTCAACTTGGATAGATTTGTTTTTGTTTAACTCCATGCTGTGTTAATTATTTCACAATTTCCCAAGATTTGTAAACGTTGCTACCTTGTAAATAATGGTTGGATTATCTCTTTGCCGGGCTTAAGAGAGTACCAGATGTCAGTTGACGACATAAAGGTTGCAAAGCACAAGAGATTTTTAAAAGTATCGAGGACGTATTTCGTGATTCCGAAAAGCAAACAATCTCATTGTCTAGCTGCTTCAGGCGTTTATGACGAAAGAAAGGAAACATTTCCTCTGATGAGGAAAAAATCTTTGAAATCATTCGATTTCCCTGATTGATAATTCCGCTCAAAAGTGGTTCACTTGCACGAGTGAAAAGAATTGCCTCTTTATTTGTAGAGATTTGAAATATTCACTACAGTGAGTATTTTACAGAAAGAAAATGTATTCTTTTGTGACCTTCAAATATTCCCCTGATAAACTACACTTAACCCACATAAAGATATAAAATCTGCACAATGAATTTTACATACTTTTTTCAGATACCATCTTTTTCCGAAAGATTGCGTTAATTGTAGTGCCAAGATGTCTCGAAAGGCATAAATTTTAGTTCAAAGTTTGGGTTCTTTTTCCTCTGTACTTTTCCTTACGCTACCAAATCAGAATTTCTGGATATACAGTCATTAAAAAAGATGGCCGTGGATTATTCTTAAAATTAAAGAGCAAATATAAAGTAAATATACTTTCTTTTGACTTCTTTTGTGTGGATCAAGACAAAAAAGGACAGCGGAACAGAATAATTACGGAACGACGTCTTGTTCACAATGGAAGATGTTTGTTTTTCTCACTTCAAGCGCTGCCTAAAGAGAAGATTCCCACGAGCTATTTGGCGTAAACAGATTCTCTCATATTTATATGAATACATATTTTGATCAATATTATTTTTCATCTTAAAACCTCTCCAATTAATTTACAAGGAATATTTTAAGAAATACAAGGCAGAATTCTGCGAATTTTTCGTGTTTTCATTTCTTATTTCCAGCAAAGCTTTGAACATATTATTAAACCGCCTTGTCGCTAATTGCGGCCACAAATGTTTCTGGCTTCCATTTGCTCTCAGGCAGCAGATGTTTTAGCTTTTGTGTATAATTTCCCTCTTTAATATTAGGAATTACCCACGGCAAAAAACGGAAACACGGTAAACGGAGTGGTTTGTGCGACAAACGATTTTTTTTTTCTTCTCTTCGTGGCAACCAAACCACCCGATTCCTTCATAATTTGTCATGTTGTGTAAATTTTGTTATCCATTTTGACAGTAATATTGCCATTCGCCTTGATCACATATTTTCCCGCCATTTTGACACGGTGATTGTTTTTTTTTTAATACCGCCAGCTGAGACATAACAAAGCCTAAGAAAATTGACAAACATATCTGGAAGTTCTTCTGGAGAAAACCTTCCTTAAATGTAAATTTCCTGAAAATACAAGCGTTACTTTTCGTTTAAGATGTCGACGTGATGTCTATAAGTTTGTAACCAGATAATTTCGTAAATTGTCCATATTCAGCTGGAGAATTGAGGTCAAAACTAAGCCGGGGGCTATAAAATTCGACATTTGAAGAGATCCCAATTAGGAAATTCATTGCCAAACTGGACAGAAAACTTTGATCTACACAATGTAATATTGTCGAAGTTTACACAATGTTGTGTACTTTTATATTCAAGACGCGAAGCGGCTGCCTTCTCAGTTGTCGAGTCTTGCTTCTAATTGACCCGGATTTTTGCCCCTTTTTCTACTTTGAATCGCATGTAACTCTGATCTCTGAGTCACACACCTTATTTTCATGGAGGCGACAAACGCCTTTGTGCGGATAAATTACCACTATAGACAAGCAATCGGTCTATTTTTTCACCACAGCATTTACGCAAGTGTAACAAAAAAAAAAACGCCATGTTTACCGGTTTTTTTTTTTTGTTTTTTTTTTTTGTCGAAGCTAATTCGAATGTTCAACAAATAGAGTTGGATGATTATTGTAACTTGTTTTAAATTCGAATGACCTTTGTTCGCGTAATCTACATTAAACAAAGTCAGATGAAGAAAACTAGGTAGGCTTCGCTAAAAGTTAGGGTAAACTACACACAACTGCTCTTTTACGTCAAATACATTTACATTTTCTTGACTTGAAAATTTCGGAATCGTATCTTCCTGTCCCTATTCTTCTCCCACGACGAGGCGTACACCTTGACCGCGTTGTTACTCTGACGATCTGAATTAATTTTGAAATATGCAAGATCGTTTCAAAGTACACAAGATTAGAGGTTTTTGTAATGTAACTCTGCATTCAATAAACTGTTGGAATCAGACACGAAATACACTGATTTCCCAGTCTTCCTTCAAGAAATTCGCTAACCCCAATAAGCTGTGAAAATAGAAATTCCATTTTAATTTTCGATCACATCGGTTTCTTTTCCGACACGTTTGCTTCGACATTATGGAGCCATTTGCACCTGTTTTATGGGTTTTCATTTACGATTTCATATTTTCCTGTTGCTATAAAAAGGCACCTTTTCGAAATTACAGTTAGTCTTCATCTAACACTGATGATAATATTTTTTTGAGAATAAATTTCTTTCTAACACTACAAAATAATATACCTTATGGAGAGATGAAAATAGGAATCGAATTGCGTAAAATTATCGTTTTTTCTTTTCGTAGATATGAATTATATTTTCCGGAAATTGGGCCGGAACAACCTCTAAAGAGAAATTTGACTCCATGCAAAGAAATCGTATTCGAGCATTTTCACCGCCACCAAAGCGGCGCCGCTGCTTAACATCAACAGCCGAATCACCGATGGCCTTATTATTCGGGTTCCGTTTCTATGCAAACAATCTGGGGTTGGGAAAAATTTGGACCAAGGCAACGAAAGATGACTTGCAAAGACTGTGCGAGAAATAATTCTTCGCAACGACCTTTTTTGTGGAGAGTTCACTCATAGCACATTTAGCTTTGGAGCTTAGCGACATCATTGTTATTTTTTTCTTGTCTTTCCCTACTTTTTGCGATGTGCCGTTCTGTTCTCGATCATGCAAGCAAATGTCAATCAGTGATATTCAGCGGTTTGGAAGAATTCCACAATGCAAGTAAATATTTCAAGGTGTTTTGATCCAATTTAGTTGTGTCGATGCTGTTAACTCTCCATCTCTCTCGCCTTTCGGCGCACTCCAAAAATGTAATCCTTTTGTAAGACGGATCGGAAATCCTATAAGCGAGACAGTTCAGATTAGGGTTGGACAATCCAGCTTAAGTGTAACGCTCCATTAGCTTAAGCAAGTTTCGTCCAGTTGCTCGTAGTAGGAGGTCTGGAACCTAGAGTTTTGTGAGTGAGGTGCTTGACATGTGAATGTGACAGATAATTAATATATGAATTAGTTGGGCTGGCTATGACAATGCCGTCAGACGATCAAGAGATATGTTTGACAACGTTGAATGGTTTTTTAAATCCCTGAGTTGTACTAAGAAAACAAAAGGTATTATTCCACGTTGTGTTGAGCACAAATGTTTTCAATGGCGACTTTGTTCTGCTATTCAAAGGGAAAATTTCTCGGGTAAATATTTTTCATTCCAATTTGTGTCAATATCAAGACCTCTCTAGTTTTGAACATCGCGGCTTGTCTGGGTTTTGTGGGGGTTGAGAGTTCCTATCAGCAAGCGATAGAAAGATATCAAACTCAATAATATCTCGCCAATTGGTGACCGCCGAGGCGGAGCTCCTAACTAGGACGTGCTAAATCTCGTTTGGTTCCTTTCACAAATTTCTGCTAATTATATCGAAGTGTTTGAGGTTCAATGAGATCCAACCCTAAATCCACCCTTTTGTTTTGATTCAAATTTGCTTGTTGTTGCGCCGCCAAGCATAGAGAATTGAACAAAGCGTTCACATTGCCCTCGATCGGTTAGCACTGATTTTGACGGCGCATAAACAGTGTGCTTGTTTCAAAGCTGACTTCTATTCAGCGATTCAGTGACAACTCCAGCGTGCCCGATTCAATTCAATTTGCGAAATTATCGACTAAATTTATTTCACACGCACCCAAACAGATATCGGGGCGTCCTTCAAGAAGAACGTTAACAGATATTGGTTTTGTTACTTTCCACGTGCGTGAGTAAACGGGAAATACAAAAGTCAGCTGTCACTTTCAATAACAACTTCGAGGTATTTGCTCGCGACGGGCCAGAAATCTTGATCTTTGATCTTCAACAGGGCTCTTCAGTTGCGATCGGCTAGGCCACGGCCGCTGTTTCGCTCCATATGTTTGAAACAGTGTACTAAAATTTATCTGTGGTTAGTTTCTGAACATACACCTGCGTTTATCGCTGTTTCAAATCTAAAAAAACGCGCAAAGTTTGACAAGTGGTGAAAGGTGGGCGACCAATGACAAGTGTGGCATTCACAACTGGGTACCAATTTGTAAAATTGGTGGTAGTGCCTCCGGCCAATAAACTGCCGGACAATGACAGCTCAGGTCACGTGTCACTGAACGATTCGGCTGCGCCAATCGCAGAATGCATCTAAAGAGATCGGAATTTTGAAGTATTCGGTTCGTCAGCTGGCAGTGTCTCTCAGTTAGTAATCCCATTTTGGTTGATATCACCAAGAGTGTATTCTGTAGCTTCCTCGGGAATGAGCGAACAGGAACTTCAACGTACGTAGTTCACCCGATGCGACTTCCCTGCTCGTCAAAATAAACCTTACCTCAGCGCCGCGGCCCTCGGACTCACAAAGTATTTCCTGTCACGCTTTTAGACCAAGGAGCTCTTAAGTTTTGTTTTTGTGTTTCTCTTGCAGAGAAGCGTCGAATATCCATGTGTGTCGGCTGCGGATCTCAGATTCAAGACCAGTACATTCTCCGCGTAGCACCCGACTTGGAGTGGCACGCAGGCTGTCTCAAATGCGCGGACTGCCACACGTATCTGGACGAGACATGTACTTGTTTTGTGCGCGACGGAAAGACGTACTGCAAACGTGATTATGTTAGGTAAGCCAGAGCAGTCTGCTGCTGAGAAATCAAGATCCCAGACCTGCCGGGAACGATCAAATCGCGATCAACACATACGTTTCCAATTTTTGGCCGCCGGCGTTGCCACCAAACCGTGTTCATCGCAGGATTACAGCAGCTTATTACAAACATTGACGGCATATTATTCAGGCGAAGGAATCAATGTTATTAATTACGAAGACAGAGTGCTTGTTTGATCCTTATGGCCGTATTGTCGTCACAAATTAAAGCCATAGCGTAAGCCAGCGGCTAGTTACCTACCCTGATTTCACCCGCTGTGTTGTATGATGTATAGATATTTCGGTTTGTGCGCTGTGTTACGTCGAATCAGGGAAGCTAATTATAAAGAAATTCACACGGTTACCGGGCGGCTGGAGTTCAGGAAATTTAGTTCACACAAGTTATTTTCTGACTCCGCCTCTTTAGTATTGTGGGTAAGCAAGGCGGGAAAGTTTGCTAACTCTACAAGCAGGAGGCTAAAGGTACAATTTAGATTTGTGGTTTCCTTAGATTTCGCTTTCGATCTTGAGTCTGTACGCTGTGTATCCTCCTGTGCTTTGACGCATATTCAGTATTTTGCCTTAGAGCGAGCGAAGGAGCGGGAAGAATTTCAAATCTGCCACTGACAGGTCACCCTACATGCGAATGAATTCGAAATAGATCTATTTGCGAAAGTTGTTCTTGCGAAGCACATTATTTGCTTTACAGCCATTGAAGAATATTTCTGCTTTCCTGCTCTTCAGGTTGTTCGGCACAAAGTGCGCCAAGTGCTCCCGGTCGGTGACCAAAAACGATTTCGTGATGAGGGCCAAGAATCAAATCTATCACATAGACTGTTTTCGCTGCATCGCCTGCAGTAGACAGCTCGTACCGGGAGACGAATTTGCTCTGCGGGAGGACGGGTTATTTTGTAAAGAAGACAACGAAATCGTTGAGAAAGCTACGGCAACAGCTCAGGCGGCTCACGCTCGCGGAGGACAAAGATCTTCCTCTCAGTCATCAGGTAGGTCGGTCTGTGTCTCTTCACCGTGTTGCTTCTTCGATGCGGTAGGTCTTGTCAGAGGATATATCAGAACCTAATCAAATTGGGGTTGATAACGCTATTAGTAACAACGATTGACTCTGCATGTATCCAAGGTAATTTCTAAATTACCCAAAATCATTTTGGCCAAAAGAATCAGGCGCACGACTTCGTGTTATTTGTATCTTTAGGTTTCGGGGGCTTCATGTGAGGCCATCTGTGGCTAAGCAACTTGGATTTCGGTGATCTTCCCTGAGAGTATTACAACTCAAAGCCTTAAGTCGTGAAAGAATATTATAAGACGTTCAGTCATCGCTAGTGGCTTAATTCCAAATTGAATGTTTGTTGGTAATATCCTCGCTTCTCAATTATAAGGTTCAACATGTATAAGTACTTGTGACATTCATTTCCGATTATAGAGTTTGGTGATGGCAAATTGAGTGAGCCATCCATGCTTTTTTAAAACATCAACTCACTGTTAAGACTACGCAGTTTAGGATGTTGTTTGAAGCCCGAAAATTAACATCAAGCCGTGATAATTCAGCTAAAACTGTCGATGTGTATGTTACCTCCTCCGAAGTACAAACATTTCCGCAGGAAAATACAAAATCTTAAGTGAAGGATGTTTGTACGAGACAGTCAGTATAATTGCGAGAGCGAAGTAGTGGCTCATGAATTTTAGCGCTATCCATTTATAGACTTCAAAGCTCTATATCGTTGCTGCTAAGTATTCCCCTTGAACCGTAGTTTCGACTCTCAAAATATTAGGTTCGATCTCGAATGGACCGCGAGCTTACGATTACGCTTACCGTAATAATACATTTATAGCACACTCAAATGGCCAACCAGACGGCTCACCAACGCGACGTGGGAAATCAGAAAAAACGACAAGGGTTCGCACCGTGTTGAACGAAAAGCAGTTGCACACTCTACGGACTTGCTACGCGGCGAACCCGCGACCCGATGCGATGATGAAGGAACAGTTAGTGGAGATGACAGGCCTTAGTCCTCGAGTGATACGAGTGTGGTTTCAGAATAAGCGTTGTAAGGACAAGAAGAAATCTATGATGCTTAACAAAACTTCCTCGCATCACCAACACCAGGGACCAGGTTCGGACGACGGGCAGGTAATGTCTTCATTTTGAAATTTTGTTTTAGCTGTCTGTAATGAGCGCGCGCTGGAGCGATTCTTGTCAATGTATTCGAACGCTAACACTCAGTTCTGTCAGCGCAAAGACGGAAACGAAAATACTATTTACGTACAGGTGGTTAATCGAGCTAGGAAAGCAAACGTAAGGCATTTTCTCCTGTGTTTTGTTATCACTAAAAAGCGCTTTGCGCCTTGATTTCGGATCCTTTTCATTCTCTTCGCCGATCGAGGATGTTTCTTGTTAACATAATTGGAAGAATTAGGTTGAAGGTGTTAATTTTAGATCGTTAGCATTCACAGCTGGCTCGACGGCTCCGCGATATTTTAGAGCATAGCCTGACAAGAATGTCCTCCACTTCCTCCTTAAACCAGTGACCACCCATGGAATTATTTGTTTATTTCGTATAGCGCTATCGATTCAGGAGCAAAGCGACGTTTGAACGCGCTTTGTAAATGAGCCAACCTTTTGAATATGAATGTGCAAGAAGTGTGTGGCCTATTATAAAATCATTCTTGCCCGCTGATGGACTTCGTCAGCGAGTTTGCATCTGGCGACGCTGTGTTATTATCGCACGCACACACAGTGACAAGTACAACTGTTGCTTGATATTCTTAGATTTGGGAAATCAATGAGTATCGCTTTTATACCCTACTCCTAGTTCGCGACATGTACACAAAACTCGCAGCTTCTAGCAAAAAATGCAATTACCATTACTCTCGGTGGGGAGCTCCTCTGTATAGGTTTTGTAAAGGCAAACATAGCAAGGCCGAAGTCATAATAATAGACGCGAATTTTATAACTCTGTTTCTTAATTGGTGTATCTTTATACCGTCTGTATACAGAGTCCGACGGGTAGCTCTCCGAATGCAATTTCCCGCTCGCTACCGCCATCAGCTATTTCGGGTGTTCAGACGTATTCTACGAATTTAACTCCACCTTCGCTAAGACCGCCAACTGACGTCTCACTGAGCGATCTGCCCAGCTATCAGCCTTGGAAGGCCCTCAACGAGTTCGCTTTACACAACGATATGGATCAAGGTCCATTTCAACAACTGGTAAGCGAACTAGACATGTCTAGCTAAGCTCAACTAAGCGAGCATGTATTACCTAACTTTGAAATTTATTTGTGTCAAGGTGTCCTTTGTGTCTTACACTGTTTCAACTTTCGTTCCACCCGCGTGCTAGTATAACATCTTCAACAGTTTAAATGACCCAATTATACGGCTTGCAAAGCGCTATCTATTAGCGCAAGCAAGCGTTTAACTCATCCCAAACGGAAACTCTTGTGTTCAAAATATATCCAAAGGAGAGATGTGTACCCTAAGGGGACCTATTAATCCATCTATCCAAGCGTGCACACATTGAGGTGAGCTTGTGTTGTTTTGTGTGACACGATAATTGCACTCCTTCTGAATAAACGGCTCGCCTATTTTGCATAACTAAATTCATCGTCTTCGATCAACTAATACACTGAAATGTAAATTGTAGTTCACTTTTTTCAGAATCTCCTTCGGACCGTTCAAAGTCAGTAAAATGATTATTCTTTTTTTGTAGCAAGGTGCACGCTAGTGCCAATTCTTTTAAGAGGAGTTTCACTGATACTTTATGGCATTGTTTAAATCTTTTCCCAGAAAAAAATTCGTTTTGGTCGAGGTTTTACTGCAAAGTGACGGAACCAGACATTGTTTCTTTGATTTCTACTTAAGTTTGTTTTTTTGGGTCGTGATCTTTGTTACTGGACGTCGGTTTCTTTCGTGTGGTGTGAAGATGCAGTTATGGCAACGTGAAATTTGCTAGCATTGTATGGTATTGTACTAATTGCCTCACACCTTTCATAACAAAGCCTTCTCGGAAGAAATGGAAACTTGGCCTTTTGTATTTTTCTTACTGCTCAAAGAAAAAAGTGTAGGTAATTATCATTGGCGCTCAAACTTCACCAGCACCGGTGGTCCAGCAAATTATTGGTAGCCATTCTTTGCGAAGGTATCGCAAAAAGATTGAATTTGTACCAAAACGAACAAAACACCGGTAGGGCATTGATGTTTTTGAACACCCTCGAAACATACGAGGATCATGAATCCAGTTCGCAGTTTCGTGAACTCATGAAGACCTCAAGTCAAGGGTAATTTGCACAGCTATTCATCTTACAGTATTTCATTCTTAAACTCTTGTTCATTCTCAACATTCCACAATCTGAAAAAGCTACAATATTGGATTAGAGGCAAAGGAAAGCGGGTTTTTAGAATTTCCGCGCTCGTTGCCAGCGAAGCTTTCTCTTGCTCTTTAAATTTGGCAGAGCGTCGTGGAGAAGACAGCCATAAGCCTAGAGTTCAAAAACTTAAACATTCAATCAATGACAAAGACGTTTTTTGACCTTTTTCCTAACAGCGGGATATTTGTTGAGTTAATCGTGATAAACATCTACTTCCCAGCATGTGGTAAAAGAGTTCATTTAAGAAAAACAATGAATACATGCGTAAAGTCTTTACGCTATGCAATGGTGGCATTTTTTTTACACAAGAATCTCAGCGACGCTTGTAACTACTCGAAGTAACTACAATCCTGAATGGCAAAACTTATTTGCGTTTTTTTCTTTGAAAATCAGCAGCGAAAAGTAAAGCCAGAACACCCTATTGTAAGGCGAAATTTTTGTTCCCAAGGCTCGACTATGTCTCATTTGAACACTTCATAATTTGTTTGTTCCCATTTTGAAGACAGAAGTGGCTGTGCTAACATTTCCTTTCGCACAAACTTATCTCAGTTCTCTCTTTTTTTTTTCATCTCTTGTTAGGTGCAGTTTTCGGAACAGGCGCCCCATCTGGTATCGCGAACGCACGAAGGAATTGGGGCAAATTGAAATCCTCGACTCTTTGGGCAGACTTTCTATTCTAGGGAACTTATGAGAAGTGGACATCCAACGAATGGCACACGCTCACCTACCGGAAATCTTAATTTATTTCTTCTATCGCAAGCCGCAACGAACATTATATATAGCGTAAGTTTAGCATGAATTATGGCAAGGGGCATAACATTATGCTTTATGTCGGCAATGTATATATTCTTTAGGATCCGTTTTACGTGATGAGAGAGAGAGACGTTCTCAATAAAGATAAAAGTTCACCAGGATACAGTGTTTACGTAAATGTTTCCCGAATTGTCCATTGCTAGACCTTGGCCGTGACGTTTTCAGTTCTTTAGAAAATATAGACAGAGCTGTTACCTCAAAGAACGTAGAAACACAGTGTAATATTAAATCAGCGACGCTTTCGCTTTCCCTACGCCCGCCGGTGAAGTCTATTTTCGCGCGCGTGTTGCGGTAAAGATACGATCTGTTGGTCCGTGCATGTTGTACTGAATGTTTTGAAAACAAATATGGCAAGTCTCTGTTTTGGCGACAAAATAAGACAAGGTTTGAATATTCGCCGCACAATTTCCCTCGATGGTAAAAGAAAAATGCTGAAAGTCTAGCCCAGCACCTTTTTCACAACGTAACCCTTTAGCGGCGTTCCCGAGCATATCTACCACGTACTGTACTGGTAGTTTAGCATGATAAATGTTTTGAGTGTCGTAGGCAATTACTTTGACAAGGGCTTTAATGCTGAATTTTTTTTACGAAAAATTTCTTTCCAGACACTGAGGTGCCTTAAAGACCGAAAATGTCAGGTGCTGTTTTGCAAGTTTTGACACTTTGAACCCCGCCTTATTTTGTCTTTCACTTCATTTTGTCAATCCCCTGTTCATCTTTCCTTCCTTTCTAGATACTGCTGATAATCAGATAAATTGCCCACGAAAAGGGATTGATGAATACTTGTATACATCTTCATCGTTCATCGCTTTCAAAGGAATAGGCGGAGTAAAACGTTTAAAAGTCGATTTTTATCGAATTGCTCGCGGACTAAATCGTTTGAAAAGTCAATCTATTTTCCTTCGGGATATGACAAAGCTATTCTAGCAAGCACCTGCGCAAGAACTTTCGTGTGCTTTGCCCCTTTATCGCCTCGGGCGAGAGGAACGGGAAAGAATGGAATTTTCTGATAGGTTTCTTTTTTGTTTTGAGTTATTATTCGATGTAATGGCTTCTGACAGCCATTGTGACCAACATGTGATTTCACTGTGGTCGATGCTGGGCGCTCCTTTAGAAAATGCTTCCTCTTCAGCTAGCCGTTCTGGAATAGGCACTTGCCTTTGAAATGTTTGCCGAGTATTTGGCCCCGAATCTGATTTTTTTCAGGGGAAGAAACTTTGCGTGATCGCTTTGTTTTGCGTGCTTGATATGCAGACAAGGTGAACAGCCCAGGTGACCTCTACTGTCTGCGAAATCAATAATTGCTACACTTTCGACTAGTTTTTTCGCCACATTGTACTACGTTTTTGATTTTCATCAAGGCAAACAAGAAAATGTAGGGTTCATGATACCGACGTCAGATAAGAGGTGATGTGTAAAACAAGTCTAACAGGATAATAAATACTGTGTACACAATTTCATATCTCTTTTGTCATCAAAGTTGGACCTGAAAGGGCTGATTATAATTTCATCGCTCGCTCATATATTAGATTTCTTCTTTCGTCGAGCCTCGCTATAATTTCTTCTTCATTATGCGGACAAATTAAACCCTTAATGGGTGCCTTTTTAAAGTAAGTGACCTCTATTTGGCCATTTTAAGGCGGTCTGATGTTGCAAACTCTTTTGGCTAGGGAAATTTGTACCTAAAATAGATATCTAATATATGCGATCGATCAACTGACTCGGGTGGATTCTAAAATTTCTTTTAGTATCAAGTGGATTCTAACCACAACAACTTGTTATATTCGCTTTACTGAGTTCTGACATTTTCCATAAACTAAAATTGATAGCTCTTCTGGTGTAGACTTTGAAAGTAAAAATAGATAATTCTTGTGTGTGATAAATTGCGTTTCCTTCGAAACGGCACGCAATACTTTTTAGCTAATTTTCGAGAATTAAGCATGTCATTCATCGCTTAAATTATATGAGGATTTTAAAATGATGATAACGCTAGGAAAGGGAAAAAAATTTTGAATTTTAAAGACGAAAAGGTCGAAAATTCTATCATATTAGATAGTCTTGTTTGCAACTTAATGAGCAGGGCCGCAAGAAAAAAATTGTTATTTAACAAGCTTTATCTCGTATCCAGTAGCGATTAGAAGGTAAGTAAGGAAACAAGTAGAAATAGCAAATTTTCTAATTGTCTGGACGACAAAATTTCGAAATGTCTTTTCATAAGTTGCAAATTACGGTCGCGTGCAGGGGAGATATAATCTTTCTAACCGAACAACGGTTTACGTAATAATTACAACAAATGCAAAAACACGTTATTGAAATTCACCCAATCTCAGCGATAGCTTTTAAACTTCCTTTGGTGATGTTTGAAAGGACACTTTTAAGTAACATCTTTCAATTTATTGCAAATAATTGCGAAGACGCGATTGGCGAGTGGAATATTTTCAAGTTAAAATCTGACTGACAATATAATTTTAACCACACTACTTGAAAATCTTCTGACATCAGAAGAGCGAGGCGGGAAAAGTCATTAAACACTTTTATTATTATAGACAGAGTTAGCCTCGGGGCTTAAACTAGCAGAGTCAATGAAAAATAGGTTGCCTTGTAAGAACTCATATTTTTTAACTGCACTCAATCTATTCGCCTTATGAAGTGAGGCTAACAACGGTATCAACAGTAACTTTCGTCGTTCTGCTTTCTGTTTCATAGTAGTTTGCGTTTTTCACAATTTATCGGGTCTATAAATAATTTGGGTTCTTCGTTCCACCAAGAATAACTGTGGCTTTGGGCCTGATTAAACAGGCCCACAAAATTACAAGTTATCATTAGCTTTCCTCGTGAAAGGTCATAACTCTTGTTTCGATTCATCAACAAGACACATTTGTACCACAATATCCGGCCTCCCTCTCTCGTAGGACCGCCTCACTTGCACTGAGAGAAAACTCCGGAAAATATTCCCATTAACCGTAAACAGCAAAGATTTTTATCAATTGTCAACTTTTCCCTGAATGATCCAATGAAAAATCGCATACTTAACTCAAGACCACCAAAGAATTTTGAATGACCCTGAAGCCAGTGCCGTAATATGAAAAGTCAGCCGGTTTAGCTGAATGATTTGAACAGTATCTTGAAAACCCGGCCGGAAAAAGTAAAAAATACAACAAAAATAAATGAGCAGGACTAACGGCTTGTCTTTTTTCATTCTTAGAAAAAGACCAAGTGTGCGCAAAATTGTTAATCGGCATCATGGTAGTACACAGGGAGGAAAAACTTGAGCTTCAAAAGTTGAACCTTCTAAACTCTGCAAAGCTTTCGTTCTTCTGCTCTTACTTTGTTATGATGTCTGTGGTTTTTTGCGTTGTAATGTTTTTGCAAAGCTCTCCTGTGTCACTGAATCAGCACGAACATTGATGAACTGAATGAAATTTGAAGAAGTTTGAGATATCCAGCATAAAATGAGTTCCTTCGATGGTACTTTCCAAAACCATTTCCTTTCAGTTTGGGAGTCAGTCTAGTCAATAATATTGAATTTAATGCCTCTTCCGTGACCCAGAATCAAAGAATGTTGTTTGGATTTTCCTTTTTCAAATTTGATTAGAACTTTAGAAGGTGTTTTTCAGCGTCTTACCACATAATTACGTTTTATGACGGTTTTATAGTTGGTACGAAGATTATCAACCGTGATTAGTTTTGTCACGATATTTAACAGCTAGATATTCACCAGGAATTCAGAAGTACATCAAACAGAACTTATATTCAAAAAGGGTTGAATGTTGCTTCAAGGGTCTCAGAGATAATATTGAAAAGAGAAGGTATTGCATAACTTGCGCAAATATAAATGAATGCAACCAAATTCCAGAAATGAAATATTTCATTCTCAAAGTAATTCATTTCTAAGGCTCGAGGAAAACCGCAAATATAAAATCCAAATCCCCGTTGAACTGCAACTAGAAACTGAAAAACACACGACTTACATTTTGCAAGCTGGGCTTTCGATGACCTTGGAAATGTTATTCGTAAATAGTTTCGCTATTGTTTTTTTGTAATTCTTTTCTCAAATATCGGTAGAAAACTGGTCCCTTTCTCCCTGCCGATAGCCCGCAGGCTGTCTGTTTTTCCATGATACTAGGTTTGCTATTTTTTTTCTTCTTTTTGATGAACCGGAGGACTGAAATAATTGCTTGCACTTTGGAACTCTTTTCAATCAACACTGAAACTGATAACCACGCTATCATGACATGAAGATTGCATTGTCGGTCCGCGTCAAGATCGCTATATTCTGATAATAAGACTTAATAAATGCCATTTACTCGCTAAATGATCTAAGATGCTTACACCTTAGCCTTTTAGCACCCCAGTCTGAGCGACAACTGGTCTTTTCCGGCTTCCAAGCGCGACAAGAAATAATCTTGCTTAAAACTCCTAGGCGGAGTGATCTCTGGCTTGGGTTCATTCACGGTTTAGTTCTGTCTACTGTCAAACGATATTCTCTTGATATCGATCGCGATAAACCTCACAAAGGGGCACAAAGCACACGTCTCTAGCGACCTTATCTAAACAAAGAATCTCAATTGCTTTTGCGCCAGACACCGCGTGTCTTAGCTTTTGTCGGCACCTAATTTCACTCTGCGATGCGGTAGTCCTGTTTGCAAAAACATTTCCCGCCGTTGTTCACATCTTGTTGGCAAAAGTATCCAAGGAATGGCTAGGCTGCCATGGGCTTGGTTTGCAATAACATTCCTCGCGCCGAATTTAGACGCCCCGGCCAAATAACTATTTACTGAGATAACATGCGTAAGGACCACATTGTTCTTACACACAGTCTCGTTTCCGATCATTCCCTTGTTTGTAAAAGTGTGCCATTGTTTTGCGTGGGAAAAACTCCACTTGGAAAAACAAGCTTTGAAGATGGCGTGATTTTTTATGTAAACTCCTCGAGGATGCAAAGAACCCTGCGCTCAAAACCTCGTGGCAACGAGTAACCTCTCATGACCCCGTTTAATGAGATTTATTTTTCTGCTCATTCTTTGCCAATTGTTGGCCGTAAACACTGCGCACGTGAGCACAGTAACATTGTGAAATGAGGGGCACATGAAAACTTTTC